TCACTATCACCAACGTGTCGTCTGTTTTTTAATAAAACATTTGACGGTTTTATCGGCTAACTGCACTACATTTCAAACAATCACGATCATGAATCAGAATTTGCCATGGATAATTATTATTGTATCATATAGGGACGATAAAGTTGACTTTGAATAATGTGATGTTTTTCTTCTTATCCTTCCGAAAAAATGCATCTGATAGGGTGTCAATACTGGGTACAAACTTCTGGCTTCACACTGAACGTGACGCCGACTTATATCATAGAATTCAACCTGCCTAACCTAAGACTAAATTATTTCTTCTCCAGGACGGAAAGTTTTTTTTATTGCTTTGTTTTACTCGTACGAAAGCATTAGTGGCTATGTAGCCTTACTTCTGATCCATTGAGGCTATTTAAACTCATGACAAATCTCTAACACATGTCTTGTCCGATTAATGAGTCGCAGTGAGTCTGTTCGACTGAGATGCAGCACGAACGATCCACAGCCCGTGTTAAGTGTGTCTTTGAATTACCTTGATAATTTGAAATCATAAGTTATTGTTTGTCTACATAAGCATGGGTTTTTTATATTGCCTTGCGATACTACATTACGATATTATGCTCGTTGAACTAAATTATGTGTTCTGTCTGGTACATTTGTCGAAATAATTTTGTGAGGTTATAAAGCCTCTCCAAAGACAAAAATGCATACATGCTTAAAAATTACTTCATTATATATTCATATTATACATTCATTTGTTAGGTTAGCTTTCGAGTTCTAAACATGTCGTTTCAGCAGTTTCAAAACCTTCGTCACAGATGATCCCCACGCAGTTCTCCATATTGATATTACTATGATTTCAATGGATTATTTTATCAAGCCAGCTAATGACGATAGTTGTGCCGTTTGAAAACATGACCTGCATCTAATTGTTCCAGGACACGTAAAGCACATAGCAGCTTTTACGGATTACTTCGATACCGCTCTGAGTTTTAGTGTGATTGCAACGCCATTTTGGCAATGGCTTCCCTCAACTATAAAGTTTTTCTTCGAAATTTTTAATGGAGCCGAAGTCTTTATTTATGTGCATTGTTGCTACAGGACGTGCGCCATATAGAGATGTTTGTTTCGCAGTGTAAATCTGTTTGTGTTTTTGAGGCGTCATCCCTTCGGACAACGTCGGCTTGAAGCAGACGCACTTGCAGCAACGATTCGCATAACTCATTCGTTGGCACTCAGGGCACGCCTGCAATCAGCCTCTTCAGCAGCAAACAAAGTCTTAGCTACCTTGCTTGTTGGTTCTCTAGAGGAACAGAGCGATTCAAGTGCACACAGGGGTGCGGACGCAGAGATCAGATCAACTCGTCGTCCACCGTCGTGGTGACCGCTGCACGCCAGCCAGCTTCAGTACGCCAACCCATTTTCTGGCTGGTCGCAATACTTTTTCGAAGCTATGGGCTGCCGCTAGGTAGAATGAACGGCGAAGACACAATGCCCACTACACCATACCAATGCCGTTTTCACGCACCCCCAACGTTAGCATTTACGAAGTGAGTTCTCCCACATGCCGCTCCTATCGACAACGACGACAACAATGATAGGATGCCTTTGTTTTTGTTACCGAAACAGCAGGCTGCTCTTTTACGTCCATCCACGTACCACCCCTATCACTTTTCTTGCCGGGTTACGCCCCTTCTATGGCTTAAGCTGGGCCACTTGAACCGATCTGTCTCCGTTCAATAAATCCTATTCACTTCTTTCTAAGACAGGAGAATGACCCCAAAACCGGAGCACCGTTTACTCGCGCGAAGGCGGATATAATAACGGAACAGGACGTCAATCGGAAAACGGTGTGTCTCCATCAACCAATTTTTACCGACTGAAAGGAAGACCAGCATAGCAAACGGCCATCGATATCCAGGAGTAGTACGAGACGCAGAAACTGCCAACTCGCAAGACAACGCTAAACAGATGACAGAGGCGACTTGGAGAGAGAGCTCCGCACTAGAGGTTCACTTAATCAGTACCACATTGATAGCAAGGCTTGTGCTATTCACACGATGGAAATTTAAGCGTAGCCGAAATATACGCATTTGGCAATGGATCCTTAAGCGAGCATTTATTTATTTGAAGCAGCGGCCTACTTCTCAACTTAGACACTTCATGAGGAACTACAAGTGGCCCTGTGGACTCAGGATATAGCGGTATTACACAGGATATTGACAAAGTAAGAAGAGTCTGCGACAAGGAATCAAAGGGAGAAGAAGATCTCAGTCGTCATGCAACAAAAATTCCTCTTCTCTAACATAGGATTAAACGAAACGTAAGGGACGTCCGAAGAATATTGCTAATATCTAAACGTTGCACAGTGTGCCTTGTGTGCAGGCATGTTAAGCGTATCTTGTCGAAATACTACACATCAGAGCTCACAGGTGCTCGATCTATCAACTACTATTTAATCTTTCAACTGTAATGGTGTTCGCTGTTTTAAGAAAGCTGTAAATTTACTTAAAAACTCCATAGAATCTAGATGATACAACAAAATGGCTAGGGACGATTGTGCATATCAATAAACATTTTGCCATATCGAATCACACTTATACACTACAAATTAAACTGCATTTAATCATAATGTCTCATTGGACTCTGAGGCATTATTCTGTGTCTATCTAGGACTATGAGGCAAGCGACGATGGTGTTCAACATCCTTAAACCTTCGTAGAGCTCTTTTTTATGTGCACAATACTCTTCTTTGTAATAAAAAAAAAAAAAAAACTTGAGCTTTTGTGGAAAATCAAGATTGGAATAGATGGCATAAACATTGAATATAAACGATATGCAGAAAGGAACACACAGGTAGGTGAAAGGCACAGCGCTGGGGTGTTTGATCTTTGCTCAAGTTTCGAGTGGGAAGATGATGCTATCGTGTATGTACTGATAGGCTTCATTCTTCAAGTATGGGTCGCTGGAATATATCGGGGAAATACTTTGCGGCATGGAGTCTTATGTGGAGGACGCGGTGGCCAAGGATAGCGAGCGAGCGAGCGAGTGCCACCTTAAAGTGCCTTTATTGACTGGCCTTTTATACTGGCGACTGGATATAGGCATGTGATGGTGAGTGAGAGTGGCTATATGAAAAGAATAGCGTGATACTTCCGGAGCGTAGAACAGAGAACGTCCCTTAATTTACTTCGTTATTATAAGCATGCCCCAAGATTAGGCAGATCGAGATGCTGCCGCTGGCTTTGTTTGGCCTGAGAAAAAGCGCACATTGGGGGGCATACTGTCGCGAAGCACGTAATCCGACCATAGCTAATAGAGCGAACGACTTAAACCTATCTGCACCATATTGACATGGCGATGGCGAAATGAGATTAAGAAGAACGCCACGAAATTCTTGCAAACTAAGAATCTGATTAGTTCAAGCCCGAGCTTCCAAGTCATATATTTATATGGTTACATCCAGTAAGATCTAAAGCACTTAACAGCAGCTAGCATTTTGGGGTAATACATGACTAACTAAATTAACGTCACCTTTAAGTTAAACAAAAATCTCATTGGCTGCTGTTACCACTCATCAATTGAATATATATCGTAGAGAAACTCTACCTGTCGTTCAATGTTATTCATCTGAATACGCAAATCACAATGGCTATGTCTACATATTCGCTCTTTATTAGAAGGTCTAGCATGATTTTGCCAAACGAGAGTTATACGCGGCACTCAACCTCGCGTACATCATACCTGTTATGGAGAAAATCATTGCATGAATTTTGTTGTCGTTTTCGGTTCGGGTTTCGATAACGCCAAACATGTCCGACCATCTGTGGTTTTCCGTACTTATAAACAAGGTATGGCCCTCTTTGGCGGTGAAACGCGTGCAGTTTTAGCTCGAAAACGTACTACAATTTCGCTATATTTCATTTTCTGAGAAGATCGTTGCTAAGCCTAACGGTGGCACCCGGAATTCTAATCAAAACGCTAGCAAATATAACATATTTCAATTATTCGTTGAGCATTGGGCTAATATTAATTAAGTGTTACAGGACAAACATCAGCGATACAACAATCTAACGGCCTATCAAGTAAAACGGCTTTGCCAAACATGATTGCATCCTTTCATAGACCTGACTAGTTAATTGTCTCGACCTGTGCGCAATACCATACGAAAAAATCTTCTGGCTATGAAAAGTTGATGATAAAAAAACATGCATAGATCGTATGTAAACATAGATCATTTTGCCTATCTATGTTTAGTACGTAAGCGTGTTATCACAGGAACTGCCTAGATTTAGCCAGCAGGCTTACAGGCTATTAGCTAAGACGCCTCTTAGTCTCTTGTTTTTGAAAGGGCAAAAGAGTGAAGTGGACAAATACGGTGGTGTAGTTGGTTAAATTCGAAAGGAAAAAAGGAATTGCAGTTAAATGTGTTTAAGAGCATTTTTGAATTGGGCAGCGAATCTGAATTCGGATAGTTTTTCTTTGAGGCTCGGACACTTAGCTGATAACAACGATGCACGGCATAATTCTGTTCTGGGTCGTATTTTACAGGGCAGATATTGCTTTGTAAATATCGCATTCCAAGTCGACCGTGGCCTTCGAGCATTACCTTATGGTGCTGTGGCTATATAAATTTCAAGCAGCTTTGTGTCGTTTTGAGAAAGTCTTCTTGTACTGGTAACGCCTTGTCTGGGCGTTAACTCGTCGACTATTTTTTCTACGTTAATGCATAACAGCCTGTTTCTTTATTTAACCCCAGTTAATAAAATTTAAATTAGCGATCTGTAGCATTTCTTCCTAAAGGTTTAGCCGTCCAGACCACCGAACTGATTAATGGATGATAATATGATAAATAAGCCGGTGAAATATCTACTAGTCTAATAAGGAAAAGCTTTATTTGCCCTTCTATAATTATAATCCGTTAGAACCTTTGAGCCAACCGTCTGATAGAAGCATGTCAATTTCCTAGAACAAGTCAATTTCAATCTATTTAGGTGCTGCCCAGTCACTAGCTGTATTATCCGTTTGATAATACACTATGCCGTTAGTAATAGTAGAAATAGTATTATATCTTGCTGGTTGGTGTCGACTGATCGGTAATGGCGACCGCAACACCCATTCTCCCGCTTGCCTTCCTGGCCCTTTGTTCTTTTACTTTCATCAACATCACCGACAACCGCCACTGCGAGACAGAGAAAGCCAGGGCAGAGCATCGTTATCCGTCTACAGGCTATATTAGGTTACGACTGCTACTGCCATCACAACGACTCTTTGTTCCAGCTACAACTACTGTGGCATATATGGGCAAGCACCAACATGGCGGCTCGTCCGCAGGATCTCTGCACTCACTCCGTTTCCTGGTGACCGTAACAACGATGATCGGGATCGATGCAACCGCAGCAGTCGAGGTAGGGAAACGAGAAATCACGGTCAACTAGCTACGTGGTAACTCAGCTCAATTGGTTTCGAAGGTACACATCGGTACAGACATTCGTGCGCAAGCCTCATATAGCCGTACTAACATCGACGGAGGTTGTACATACACATTGAGAACTCACTTCCTCTTTCTTGGTTGTGCCGCACAGCTTCAGCTCGAGGCTCGGACCGGTTAATCGTGGTAATGGCGACAGTGGTGATGGTGTCTCTATTTTCCTAAGACAGTCGCTAGAATTACATCTGCGACTGCGGCCAATGTAACCCTACGTACAGACCCATTCAGCACATCATTGCCAAAGCAATTTTGAGGTCGCCTGCTCCACAAAGGTATGACTTGATACTGCAACGACCGCTTTCGTACCGAATCGTTCGCTTAGAGTGTCACAACAAAATGAGCAGAAGAGAATCCGAAGTCGAATCCGTTTACCGTTCAACAGTCTTGGCCACTGCCAACGATGGCGTGTCGAAGACACCGGTGACGGGGCGTTTCGCGATAAAAGGCTTCCGGACACTGTTGTATGGCAAAATGCTTCAGAGCGTTTTTTTCAGGTTTTTTTTCCCTGTTACCTGCAGCGAGTTTGCGTAAGTAGCAGCGCCGACACCAGCAGATGTGGCTGAGGCAAAGTGTCGGGTGTCGCTCTAGAAAGCTATTCGGTAAAATCAAGAGAATACGAACGTTCGGTGGTCGTTAGATCTTCATTTTTTCCTACTGACAGTTGTTACGACCTCATAGGTATTTAAAAAAAAAAAAAAAAAATATTTGTCAGTGTCTCAAAACTGTTGTTACCTGTAGATAAACAACATGGCCAAAAAATTCGTATACGTTGAAATTAAAAAAAATCTTTATACCAAGCAACACAGTATTGCCACTGTGAGCGGTAGCTTAAAGAACAATGCAGATTGCTATTACTACGCTCGGTGGTACTAAAACCGGTGATTTCTGATCTTGATAACCGGGCTGCTTTTAAAAAGGACAATACGTGAATCCTCTTCACGCACGCCAGGCTTTACTTTTAAAAGCTGTCACGCTAACGGCCTGGGCTGCACGCACGTTTCTCTAAGGTGGTAAGCATTATGTTCACACCCCCGCAGAAGACCTGGTAATAGGGCTGTTCTCAAGAATTGCAGTACACCACACATATGTCTGACAATCTTCACAGGTTTTACACTTACTTGCTCATTCGTTCTGAGGTTATGACCAAATGGCTATGTTAAGTAGAAACGTGTCGCCACACGCTTGCGCCAGGGTCTAGTTGAAAAATGGTAGTTTGAGCGAGTTCATCTTTTTAACGTACGCTTCACATCGTACGCCGGCGGCAAAAAACATCCTGTGTATGATCATAAGCAACTAGTTGTTAAGCTCCTTAGAACACTGTAGATGCTGCTAAAATTTAGTAATCTAATTTATCTCTTCATTGGGTGATGCTTTTCAGGAAAGCCAACCGGAACGTATTAGGTGTTGAATCACATGTAACCAGATTGAGCACGACACCTTGAAGATCGATTATTTATAGGAGAGAATAATGTGTGTTGATACGAGGATGCTTTTTACGTATTCTAACAGAGTCAGAAAATTCTTAAAGAGTTTAAATTAAACGACACTCATCATATTTGAATCATCATCATTATTATTATTGAAAATTGATCTTCTAAGCTTCCTTTGAAAACGTTCGGCTATTCAGTATTACAGAGCTGTCGAAATGTAATATTAGCTTAGATAGCAATCTACGTGGTGGTATCTTACCTATACATTTATGCAAAGTAGCACATCTTATGGGTAATTCTGCAGATTGGGAAAGGTCTGTATAAAGAAGGTATGAATATGAGTTGGTCGCATAAAAAACAGTAAATTGTAGAAAACACGATAATCATAGATGAAATGCAAAATCGTAGTACTAGACTCAATTTAATAACTTCTAGTCTTTTGTAGTAGCTAGCCAAGGTTCAAAATAGACCTGAACTGCAAGCAGCTGACCTCTACTTAAGACAGCGTCTTGTTGGATATTCGGCCTCACTTTTTCCGCTGCATCTTTCGGTTTAGCAGTGGAACCTTTATCTACGAAGTCAAGCACTTCATTAGCTGTGTCCTTTCCCATACCAAAACTATTTTTGTCCAGCATTCTATGTGGCACCAACAGAATATATGTTTTACATAACTGTCTGGGCAATCAGCGGGTATCACTGTTAGATTTCGTTCAAAATTGACATCTATTTTTAAATAATTCTTCAGAAAATCCACTCTTCCGTATCCCCTCGCTTGGGCTTCATCGCGCACACCTATAAGATCAAATTCCGTAAATGAACACCACTATTAAACCGATCGACCAACCTAATCCCGATGACTTTTTACATTACGTGCGACATTACAACCTGCGCGGCGCCCGGCAATTCTTTTCTCTCTAAACAGCGTCTCACTGTTTATCTGTTCAGCTTTTGTTCATACCGAGCACGCTGGATCGTGTATTTTATTTCTACATGAGCCCCCTACCTTTGTGAGCGCGTTTTCGTTCTCGATGGCCACGGTCTAGAAATTTCCAGTAACAGTACTTACATATAGTTCTAGTGCTATAATATCTGCGATGGCCGGACCACGTTGACGCAGCAGCGGTGTTGACCCAGCATCAGCGACACCATGTACAAGAACAGCTTTGCGTGATACTGACTACGTATGTCTCCGTACGGTATTCTGACCGCGTTCGACGTGATGCCTCTAGATGTTTCCCATATGTATGCCAAAGAATAGGAACGAAGGCATGCGCGATCGTATCTCAGATGGCACCTTAAAATCCGCCCTCTTTTCTAACAACCAGAAAAAAAAAGTGTGACAATGATAGGTTTTCCATGCTGTAAAACCTGGTGCTGCATTTGCCTGTCATTTTAGTCGACACAACAGTCGACCTGGTTAAAATTAATTAAATTTAATCGCATATGACTTTTTTTTTTCTATAAATTTATTTGCCCGCTGGCTTCCGCACTCGTACCTAAGAGGGCAGCCTATGGAGCTTCGATTTTTTTCAACACGCAGTTACAGTTGGCAGTCGTTTGCTCTGAATGAAACTAAATTTTCCGTGTTCCCTCTCTTCGACTCGGTTCACTTGCAGACGCAGCAAAACTATTCACGCCTACGAACTACAGATCGGGCGGAAAAGCTATTCGATCGGCTAGATGCTTGTCTGTAAGTGCATTAATTCAAGGCTACTGCTGCTGTCGTTTCTCAGATCGGGTCACGCTTTCCGTTTACTATTACCCTCAGTTTTACTATTGCTACCGTTACTGTAGTCAACCGTCGGCTCATCTCAGTTGCTCCTCTAACGTTTCATGGGAAGTGACCAATTAGAGCCAACATGGCACTTCTTTCCCCTCCTTCCACCCCACTGCTAAATAGCGCGCTATTTATTCGTTATTACCGAACGTAGTAAATGATTATGCCGGACCAACAGTCATCACTTAACTTACAGTTTTTTTTTTTTTTTTTTCTCTTCCATTAGTTTAGCTGTGATATGCGAAATAGGCTCGTTCATTATCACGATTAGGTTGAACTTGGTGTGACGCGTCTCGGATCATTGGTCGTCTCTAGCAGCGGCTTATGTCAATTTCTAGGTCTCATCACTGGAGCCGACCTACTCATATCGAGTGCTGAATATACGATAGATATTTAATATACTTGAGCGAGAACACCTGCTGCTGATGTCGACGACCTGTCGATAACATGGGCGGTTACTGTTCGTCAGAGATCGGTTAGCTGATAGACAGCCCAAAGCGGCTTCAGCCTCCTGAAATATCGACTCCGTCAACAAAATTTGCCGATTGATTAGTCGAACCCTCAGTATAATTGGCCAACATATATATGATCGTAAGGCAATAACTAATGATGCTCTGTGGTAGGGAATAGGCCCGGTACTCACGAGGAGGCGCTTGTCAAAAACTAGCTTCGAACCCTATGAATATGTATATAGTTTAATACGCACACGGAGGTAGAATGATATTTGGGGCTACTGAAAACCGCTGTGACGGGATCATCTATTTAATTCGAAAAGTCGGAGGAGCCATCGGGGACTGCGTCACTGTGTTGGCGTCGTTAGCGGTCAAGCATGCAAAAGACATGTTCGCCCTTTTGATAGCTCTATGGGAAATGAAATAGACTTCGACGCCAAAGGCGAGCCGCGGTAAACATGTGTAGAACGCTATAGGTATTTCGCACTCGAGCCAAAGAGGTAAAAAAACGTATCAGCAATTGTTAATGCGGCTCTTCGTTCTTCTTGGCCACGAATTAACGTGGCTTCTATCAATCCGTTCGACGATGAAATTAGTCAATGGACGATAGATTTTTTGCGCAAAAAATAACTAACCTCTAGCGAATACTTCACAAGCAGATACGACTAGCCTTTGTTCGATAACATGTGACGGTACATATATTCATTCATCGCGAATTAGATGCTCTGCACTATTTACGCTTTGTCTCTTTCGGAGTTTCAGTTGGACACCTGATATAGTATACTTTTGAATAAAGAAAAATCCGTTGTTCCGGCATGTTAACTATTTAAATGCCGTCTATAAGTTATATAATCAATGAAAGTTAAAACCGCTGTACAGCCAACATCGTTCGAAATATAGCCTGCGAAACCGAAAACAGCCTTTTTGGCTGACATCAGCTGCAATAGTCAACGTATAACAGTGAAGAAAGCAAAGTTTATGGCCGGTCATAGTTAACCTTTTACTATCTCAATATTAATATCAACCGAATCACAAGAACCCGTGAATCCACTGAGCGATCTATTAGTAGTAATAAGGGTTAACAGCTGCACACGTTTCATGTTGTTCAGATATAGATAATTAGCTAGGAATACTACTTTGAGCTAGTTTGCCACTTCAATTACGGGTGCGAAAACACGAAAGCTATACATTATACTGTATTCTCTAAAGACAGTGCATATGTGTACGCACACGGAGCCAAAACAGTTTCAACCTCTCTAGCCATCCCTAACGTACTACTTACTGATGTTTTCTGAAGGAACTACCACCTCACAGGTTGCAATTTGGCGACTTTCCCACAAGACTGATATTTAAACTCGTTGAATTTTTCTATTAACAGCCTACTGTAGTTATATGCCGAAGACTCGCTTATATATATACGCAGAACTGAAGCAGAAATGAAAAAGCACAGTAGACTGATAGAATACTCCTGGTGAATAAATGACCCTCCGTCACAAACGTGCAAAGTATCTATGCACTGAGACGCTCTACGAAAATGTTGGTGATTCCTGTAATACGGCATCCATTTTCTATTGGCATTATGTAGAATATATTTTGTTAAAGGCACCGCGACATCATCAATCGCGTACTTTGTTCTTATACGTATTCTACCCTCTATCTATAAACAATAAATGACATGTCATAAGGAGCAAACAATGTGCTCACTATGTATACTCACCTGTTAATGGTTCGAGAAACAAATTTTTATGTACCTATAGTTGTGCCTCGATAATTACTGTTCTTTCTGCAAAAACTGCTCGCTTAGTTGTCTGCAACTTTATAACCCAACATTCTGCTACAAGGCTGATGACAATCTACCGACTAGACCCTTTGTCTTACCCTCATCAGTTACTGCAGGCATCCGATAGGTCACCTTGATTCAACCACCTACGCTGCAAGCTTCGTTTGAGTTCCCAGAAAAAAAACTTTGCTGCCAGCGAAACACGTGCTCTCAGACAAACTGGCTTGGCAATCTACAATGGACCCCGATGGAACAGCAGCACCGGAAGGCCTTATCTAAATATACCAGTGCCAGTACGTGTATCGCATTGATAACCATTTTCTATTCTGTGAAATGAAATCGTTGTCATGAAGCTGGCTCACAGGACGGATAAGATGGGGCGCTATGGACGTTATTGTGATAGCCACAGCTGCGACCACAAAAAACTTCATCCCCGTGAAGTGTGTCACCCCCTAAGCTTACCTTCAGCCCCTTTCATTCTTTCTTACCTGGACATCCGCTGTTCCTCACCACGACATCATTGGGCGCTCAGCTAGCGTCATCTCCAAGCATCATTCCTATCGTCATCCTGGTGACCCTTTCAAGGCGACTAGCTGTCCAACCTCGAAGACTGTGACGGCAGGTCAAACTTCAAAAGGAGCTCAAGAAATGTCTCCGTGCGAGTCTTCAGGCTGTATGAGAAAACTACGCTCCTATTCAGCACAACTAGGTTGAGACGCTTGCCCACGAAAGGAGAGAGAAATCCTTGCTTGGCATACACGACATACAATGTCATTATAGAAATGAAGTATGTGCCATCAGTCAGGGTTTAAACGCTTTATTCCAGGCGTCCATACTTGAGCAAGTAACAAAAGGCAAGTCCTATTTTAATTATCTATACGTAAAACGCCACTCGCTCGATGTATAGTGTACCTGAGCGCTGCCTCTGAGCTCTCGAAATAGATTCCACAGGTAGCGATAGTAATGTCGGAATTGTAAACTTGTATAGAATGTGACTTTGCTCGTGTCTCTAAATACACCGATAACATCGACGACCATGGAAACAGCGTTACTGCAGCGTATACAATAACAACAACAGCAACATTTACAACAGCCGCGGAGGTAACAGTGGTAACTTCAATCTCCCCTTTGAAAATTCTTTTCATTTTCCTCTCGACAAACGTTTTGAACTGCTCTGTTCAATCTAACTCTCGCGCGGTTCGTCCAGGCCTTACCGATCCGTGCTTTCTGTATCGTTCGTGCCTTGCTGCCCGACTTATTGTGCCTCGGAAACGTTTTAGTAAGGGGCAAACCGGCTGAGACGGACGGACGAATGAGAGTGGCACTTAACGCCGTCAGAATTAAATGAAATTCTCGTCCACGCAGTGAAGTTTCCACTGGCATTGGCAATTGGTATAGTATTGCCAGTGACTTCAGTTCACCCTTTCCAAGCCTTATCCTTTATGTCCTTAATCGCCCCTAGTCACGGCACTTCTTTGCCCACTGTGCTGATTCCGGGCTACTACATCTGCTGCTTCTGGGAGTTCATTACGAATATGCCGCCGTTCCCACCGCTACGGCGGCCTTCGTTTCTCGAACTGCTGATAAATGAACCAAGCTAGCTCCCCTCTTCACAAGTTCTTTGAAGGAGCCGCCAAGGGCCCGCTGGATTCTCCTCTGAAAGGTAGCTGTGACAACAAAAGCAGTGGAAGAATTGTCATAATAGATCAACTTGGTTGACGTTAGACGAAGGAGACGGAATAGCGTGAACGAAAAGACGATAACGGTGGCGGCGGACCTTGTCCTCGAGCGAATAGTCGCATTGCAGTGGTGGAAGTGCAGCTGTATAGAATTGGTGCAGGTGAAACCTCATACCCCACTATAGCAGACCTCACTGTCGCTAAGTCTGTGATACAAGTGGTACTGCTTAGACCCAATAATCGTACGACATCTGGGATGAAAATGACTTGTGAGACAAACTAACTCGGAGGCAATGACGCAGCGTGAAGAGCTGGTGTGGTAAAGAATGTAACACGCTACTGTACGATGGAGGCCCAAGAAGCTGAAGTGTGAAGTTAAAAGATGGATCTCTGTTTGCATATATTCTATTTTGGTTACGACCTGCTTGTACATAGGCAAAAATGGCCATGCATATTTTAGCGAGAAATATTATTAACGGGTATGGTTAACGGATTTAGCTAGTTCCACAGTTATGTAGCAATGTTTATAATAATATTTGGTTCTCGGCTAAAATTTTCGTCGTTATCTACATAGTCTTCGTTACGAAAGGTTCGTAGAAATATGCCGCCTAGCAAAATTTTCCTTGAAAACCATCAGGTAACAGTTGATCAAGCTTATTATTTACATCGAACATATGACGGTTCCAAGGTTCTTCGTTTTTACGATGTCTAGTTTGCAGGTTAACTAATACAGTCAAAGCTAGTATTGTGACTATACTTTTGTACTAATAATGTTGAGATCGACAAAGGGCAGAACAAAAAGCTGGCCTATAAAATACATATAATCAAAAATAAGGATTAGACAAAATCTCAGATCCCTGTGGATCCTAATAAAAATCATCGCGGGTCATAAAATTGTTATTGTTGTATATTTGTTTATATTGCCTGAAACGTTTCAATCGAATTGTAGGTCGAATTGAACATATTCAGGATCGAAATCAACTATGGCGTAGTCTCAAAAGCTGTATCACTGATGTCCACCTAAAACGCGGATGAAGATTGTTACGTGTTAGTAAACTGTATTTGATAATTTTATAAATAAGATCTAGTTTTAATGGCGCTATTTCGAAATGATACCCAGCACGTACCAAATCATGCGATAAAAAACACGTTTTTTCTTAGTAAGCAGTGTGGCGAGTGCGGCCAGAGTACACGCAATGGAAAGAAAACTTTGCAAACACTAAGTTTTTTTGGAGAAGTTTCTTATGGAATGGAACCTTAGACAATTGTCGTTCTGTCTAGAAAAAAAAGTTTTTAGAAGGTAGCTGGTGATATCCTGCTAAATTGCCGTCTTATCTGCTTTTTTAATTATATGTTTTGCACGAATTATGCAATATGGTTTGCGGCGATACAAAGGTAAGCATCTACTACAACGAAAATACTTAGAAAAGCATTAGCTATAAAATAATTAACGTCATTTAATATATTTGTTCGAGTTTAGGATAATCTATAGCCGTGGACGAGCGTGTACTGCAAGCTGGTTCGAACAGAACGACTTACATAGAGCGTCAGTTATATACAGAATTTTGTTTATCAATGAAATTAGGGACTGCTGGAAAATAAGGAACGCAACAACGTTTTATGGCATGGCTGTTGTAACAAAGTATCCATTGTCATATCAAAAGTAAATAATACAAAACTATACTATCGCTGTCAAAGTACCTATATAAAATGGGATTTTTATCAAAAGACAGAAGCTAAACATGTTGCTTCGTATAAACAGCGTTCTAATTCCTCAATGCGAAACCACACTGCACTTCCACTTCAATTTTTCTCTTTTTTGATAAATCTTCATTGGTGTGGCAGAGTTTGGCGCGGAAGGTCTTGCCTTTTCCTTCAACGATTTCAAAGTGCGTCTATACAAAACGATATCGACCCCCCAGTGCGTAACACTGGGGGTCGATATCGTTTTGTATGAATTCCGTTATTTAAGTTACAATTACATAAAAACAAGCAGAAACTTATTCAACGGTCCTGCGTTACTAGGAGACCCAGGAACGGCATCTTTGTAGAACTGAGTGATAAGCATGACTGGCTATTAGATATCTGAATTTTGATTGAGCAGCATATTATTTAGAAGCTTGAATTACCTGAAAAAGAAGGCGATTTTTTTTGCTAACTCAGATCTTGGCATCGATTCGTGCCCAGTTTTAATGAATCCTGTCAGGATAACATTGTCCGGGTCACAGCAATGCCACCCATTATTTGCGCCATGTTAATTTTTGCAACACATATTGTTCATTACTTTCGCTGAACTACTCGCTGTGTCGCACGATTTGCTCACCCCATCCCGTCACCCTAGTTCAAGCTGCCCATCCAAGCAGAAATGGAACAAAAACGAGCAACTTACTTCTTTATTTCGTCAATAAATAAATGACAAGCCCGAAAAAACGAACAGTTTCAGCGTCAACTTTTCACAGCTTCTTTTTACCAATACGAAGCGCTGCGCTCCCTTCAGGATCTCGTCGTCTCTAGATTTCTGTTCAACGTATTTCCGTTGATCAAAAGATCTCTGTTCGAGAATGACGAGACTCGAAATTGAAGTGAAGGAATACCTCTCTAACCGCCGTCTGGGTTTAACCTTCATTTTCCATTTCCCGACATCTTTCTCCCTTAACATGTAGGATTTTAAATTTCTTTTTGCTGATATAAAGAAAGTAGATCTTTTAACAGGCCTTTTTTTAGTGCCGCTGCTGCTACTATTGTGCCTCTGATCCTGTACCTCGTTTGTAGTACCAACGATAACAGCCCGATCTACGACTGCGTTTAATTTTAGGTTGTTTCTTCGCAAGCAGGTTTCGGTTGAAGCGTGTCCTACGCTAAAGTGAAAAGCGGACTGATGCACATTAAAAGATAACAGCGGCAATTTGAGCTGGCCTCACGGATCAACGCCAATAGAAATAGCGGCGTCACATTCACTAGCTGCGCGATGACCCGAAAAAAAAAATTATTGCTTGCCTTTGGTTTTTGTTAACATATATATATATATATATATAGAAATGTCATTGGATTTTTTTTATTATTTTATTATCGCATTTCTCTATTCGATTTCTCTTATTGTTGTCATCACCAGCGGTTTTGCCATTTGCCATTGTGTCGTCTCCTCGTTTTTATGTGACAATCTATATAGATCCGTGTAAATATAAATAAACTCTAAAGAAAATATCTGCTAGTTTAATTACGTTCATTTAGCAATAAGCAGAAGATAATTTCGTCTCTTGAGTGAGTCAAGGGTATGTGTATGGCAAAGTGAGAAAACTTGAAAAATAGGTCAGTGAGCTAAATAGACGGACGACAAAAAAAAAGAAAACAAAATTCGATTACACCAGTAGCACAGTTTGAAAGTTTTTTAGAGCATAGTGTGTACCTATGGTAGCTTTAGACGCAAGGAAACCCACGCTGGACGTCTACAGTTATTTAAAGGAAAAATACCTAATACTGTTGCCACCTAACTTAAGGACTCTTATCTTAAAATCGTTTAATTATAAACTTGTCAAGCAAGCCACCGTTTAAAGTGTATGCATTTATTGTCATATGCTCCTGCCAAAAATCTATTATATTCCATATTTTTTATAGCTCCATTGATATGCGCTGGATTCGACGAGGTAGGGTATCACATTTATCGTTTGTTTTATTTTATTTATTGACATTTAATTTGTTCATCATTTTCAATACGGGAACATCCACTTCTATAAGTACCCGATTTTCATAAATTTTTCGTAGATATGTGATCGTCTACGTTTCTATTCGAATAATATGGACCGAGTAAAAAATGCTACTTCAACCAAATCTAGTTCGCCCCCTCTATATTGATTACATTGGCACACTGGCCCTTACGGTACGGCGACGATCATCACGCTGCCCAGTTTAATAACTTATCATTTGCAGTAATGTCCGCATTTACGGGGCGTTCTCACGTAACCTATTCAATCCTCGATATGATCATCTTCGTCTATAAAGTATGTTTTTCTTTTCTTTTTTGTTCAAATATCGCGTGTCAGTGTAACAGCTGTACAAGGTTTTTCTCCGCTGAGCGGATATTTGTTAACACGAAATGGAGTTATGTTTGTCGAATGGAAGAAAATGCATTTGATCGTATGGCCACTATACAGACAGTGGCAGTTTTTTGTATTTGTCCGAAGAGGTCATGCTTTTTTATCGACAGGAACGCTCACAATAGTCGTATAAATGGTGTACACCTTAATACACAGACGTATGTGTGTGAAAAAAATTCACTATACTGTTGCCCTGCGCTGACTTTTAAAATCAATTATGCGTTGGTTTTATTAAAGACTTTTTCCCAGCCCAACCTCATCGCAATGAATATATATACTCAGTCTGCTTCCGACCCAACTTGCAGAAGTGATTGGTGATCAAATTTTTTATACAAGCAAAACACTTTTGGTACAACCGTTAGCACTCTAGGGGCATCAGGTCACACTGGACTGCGCTGAAGTAAAGGACGGAAGGGGGGTTTAGCCTCGAAGGACTAGTCGATAGGAGAAAGACCCGACTAAAAAGGCGTCTGAAAATATATAGTTTGACGGCAGTGGGCGAGAGTGCGAAGATACTAGAATCGCAAGAGATCGTTGTGATGTTGCGGGGTCGTGGGGCGTCACAACAAGAATGCCAAATTTGCAAGGGGCGCCGCCGTAGCGCAAACCTCAACAGAATCGGTAGCGATAACCGAGTGTCAAGGCCAACCGAATAATAAATAACTGCTAACTCTAACGCGGTCTAGACATGAAAGCTCTAGACCACTTGCCGATGTGTCGTGTGCTTTCGACTAACGACCTAGTCAACCATGGTAGCCTCTTGATAGATATAAAAACATCATATGAATACTGCTTTTATTTCATTTATGTGGAAATCAAATACGTTTTTCCATGTAAAAATATGCGATGTAGTTTTTACTGTTAATTGTCAAAAAACCATATATTTCAACATGGTGTTCTTTCCTGATATATATATATATATATATATATATCTCAGAAAGGAGCTCGTTTCTTGATATCGGCAAGGCACGTTTAAGTAGAAGACTACATTGCGCTGACTCGACAAATGAATAAATAGTTAGAAAATACAAAACAAGTTTTCTTTTGAAGTGAAGTGTACTTGAAGGTGAGGCCTTAACACTCGGGTCGCAGCACAAGGTTATCTTTAGAAATTAACGGATTCTGTTCCTTCCTATAACACACAGCCCTTAAGTTTCTCTTGGTAACTTTTAAGCTATTTCCTCAACCATACGTCGTTACCGTTTCTCATACGCATTGCCTGTGTACAGGACTTGGATCCCGCGACATAAAGTTGAGTATCATATTATGTCTCTTTAGTAACGTTAAGAATACAAGATGTGGAGGTGTTTAAGCTGCTCACAAAATAAATGATTGGCTCATATTGAGTCAGCGCCTGGCAAAGCAAGTAGAAATACTAGTCGCGTCCCTTTTAGGTTTCATCACTATGCTCATTAGCATCTGTGATAAATAGTTTTATTTTTAAAATAACCGTAAAAATAATAGTCATTAGAAAAAGGTAGCTAACGTGCAAGTGTGTTTCTTTTGTAAAATTGAGCACTCAAGAAGTTCATCGTGTTCTATTCGGTAGATTGGATGGAAGATTCTTCTCACGCGTACATATTGAGGTATTTTTGGTGCAAATAACACACCTATAGTTGAGTCGTTACTTTATTTACCTTCATGGTAGGTTCATCGTAATAAACGATAAAATACATATGTATATATACTCTTTGACTCAACTCTTCTAAATTGTGGGTTCGTTACGTGGTCGTAACGAGGCCTCCGAGGGCCCATAGCATCGACGTAAGTGAAACAATAATGCCAAGCACGACTGATCGTATAGTTTCTGCCAGCGATGTATGCATAATCGTATGGTGACCATTTTTCGCGCTATGTTGTTTCGTGTCTTGACCGGGAAGTCGAGAGTTGCTTGATGGTAGCTGGTTACAGAGCGTTTTGAAGGGACGACAGTTGTGGTCTAGACCCTGATAGATTTGGCGCAGTAAGTTTTTGCTGAAGCTGCGTCCCCCGCAGCGGCCAGCATGCACTTGCGTACATTCATACACAGCGTAATACGCACTGAAAATCCGAAAAAAAAAACGGCGACGAAAAAGTAGTAATATGTATACTATTTCGAACACGGTTCTAACGACTTTTACGTTAGCTGTCAAGCTAAGCGTATGTCCAGCTCGACAAAGAAACACAAAAGTTAAAATGATATTCCTGAAAACAGCCTTTTTATGTTAAAGCAAAAACTTCAAATTGGCAGAAAAGTCGTAGCGTCACTTGAATACGACAATAAAATGATCCAGTCTAAATAACTGAATAATCAAGGCAAACTGGTCCGGTGTGTACCTGCAGTCAAGACTATATGTAAGGAAGAGAAGAAAGGTATTGATGAGTGAAAGTGAGCGAATCTGTTATATATATATATATATATATATATATATATATATATATATATATATATGTATGTGTATCTTACTGACTGTTACTGCACAGGTCAAAGGGCAACCATCAGTAATTCCTATATAATACAGCAAAGTAAGTATTGTTTCTATTCCTGCACTTCCTCGCGAGCGCACAAGCTGAGGTGGAGTCCGCTTAATCTAAAGCCATAGCAGACGCTTTAATCTCATAAAAAGCTGACGCATCACTTCCACAGTGCTTCTTGGGATAGTTTTGTGCGATATGGAATGCGTTTAGAATAGTGGTCGGGCAGATCACCTGATTTGACTCTTGGTTATCGAAGGCGCCTTCCGGAAGTATGGGGTAAGCTAAGTCTAAGGGTCTTCCAATAGGAGACTGAGAAGCCTCGGAGGGCAGCAGTTCTTGATTCGTGCAAAATCGGCTGTGCTCAGTCACAGATAGATATCTTATCGCCAGGAGTCGACAAACCCCTCAAGTGTAAAAAGAGTTGCTGACAAGAACATCGTTTAATTTGCCAAAATGACTGCTTCCAACATAAGGTGGGATTTAAACACGCAACTTATGCGGGCTTAGGGCTTATGACGCCAACTTCGCTACCGCCTCAGCCAAGGCAAGGATGCCCCCATGCGGGCTAAGTTGTGATATGGCGGCGTCTACTGGACCAGCTTCGATTTTGTCTTTGACAACTTACCTAACCTATAATGAGCCTTGGTTTATGTTGTCATTAATATCTTACCAACACAGATTGTATAAAAGTGCAGCGGGATCTGATGCTGAGGTGGCGATACTTTTAGAAGAGTTCTTTTTGATTCTCACGAATTGCGAGATAGATGACCCGTCAAACGCGGCTGCCAGTAGCTTCGAGTAAGGCTTTCGACACGGCCCGTCAGTCTTTTCCGAGTAAATTGCCGATATGCAGTGCGCCTCTTTTAAGTACTCTACAAATCATGTGAAGCAAATAAGATTAAGCACATGTAAATCAAGTTACAAGAGGTTTTCTATTATTTGCTGCTAGTGTCGTTGTTGCAAGAAGTTGAACAAGTAACATATATTTACCATCCTGAAAAAGCCCCGGCCGACAAAGATCGCGGATAACAAGCTGCTCTGCTTTGACAGCCTGCGCGTAAGCTGCCCTTACATCGATCTGACACGACTGGGTTTCCTCCAAGATACATCTATAAGGATTTAAGATGCAAAAATTGTCAATCATCCAGATAATTAAGTGTCTTTTTTCAGTTCCAAGGAAATATATACAAAAATAGCATGTGCTATAAGCGACATTTTGAGTGCTTTCTTTCTCACAGATCCGCCAGCTATAACTGCGCCTAATGGCGTTCTACTAGTATTTGCTCGTTAAAGAAGATGATTGTTTTTTTTCTAAACAAGGGCTAGAAGTAGTAGGATCATTAGTCTTTTGTAGAAAATTGGTTAATTATATTAACAGAATAATCATGCTCTCGAAATTTGTCATCTAGCCTTCAGCTGAACATCAACCAGCTGAAGACTAGTTGACGCCCCTCCGTGAGCGCGTACGCCAGAGATTTTATTCTGAGCGAATAAATAAACAATTAGTTTTACTGGACTCAGCTTTAGTAGTAAGTGAAGTCTATATTTATTCATCGATAGTATTTAAAGTTTGTCAGTTTGAAAATGGTTTGAAAGCTCAGTATAGTATTTGTGTACAAAGTAACGAAGTAGCAGCTATAATAGAATTTTATCAACCCCAATCTCGTTTCAGTCACATCCTACGATGCCCAAGAACATGCCAATTTAGGATATATAAAACCCTGCGGGGTCATTCTTTCATCTTTTGTATAACTAAAGCTGATCTCAGTTAATCTATACAACAAATAGTATATCAAAAGGCAAGCTCCATTGCAAATTCTGCCGGCCAGTGATATGCACATTGTGGCGTCATCATCTATTCCTGTTCCATAATGCATAGAGCTTTCAATCTAATGGGTATGGTGGTTACAGGGCGAGAACAAGTAATCGTTGGACGCTTTAATTTGCAATAGGTCTTTTTTTGCGTATACGTAAGAGCATAATAATAATAATAATAATGTTACTGCTACTAATGTTTGATTCCGTTATAGGGCTTGGTGTTAAGCGGATCAATTACATATTAGTGTTATGGTAGCTGATGTAAGGGTAGGCCGTAAAAACGGAAGCTTCCAACATACTAGAAAGGGAAATTTTCTCTTATTGTTAAAACGCTTTTTGCAACACGAATCCTATTATTATTATGTATAGCAATACTTTTCACATGGACGCATCGCTTCGTACTTACTATTAGTTACAGTCCATCGCCGACCAAACGCGCGACAACTTACCGATGGGTCTTTTCCATACTATCACAGTACGTGTTGAGCTGACGAACAGTGACAACAAAGCGGGTTGAGGCAAGTTCCTTTTGAAGTCCTGACGCACAACCAAAAATTCTCTCGTACTCACAGGCTGGAAACAGGTAACGTCATAGATCGATTAAAAAACTCCAAAGATGACACGCGTGCAAAGCTTAATTAAGATTTCCCTTATCCGCTATGATTCAGCTGCTTGACGTCTTTTATAGTCGTTGTTTCGATCATACGCTGCTGCTATAACTGCTATCGACAAGTGCTTAAGTACCCACCTTTCTATTTTCATTGATAAACTAACCCTACCAATTTATGGTCGTTTCCGCCTTAGTTCACTTGCAAGTAAAGTAATTCGGATTTGCTACTGTAACATGTTAAACTTTGGCCAGCTCATCTTTGCAGACAGGATTTCGAAAAACGGCATTATACGAAGTGAAAATAAGGTAATAGGAAAAGTAAGTTCTAAATGGCAAAACCTGTGCCCCGGAAAATATCTCAAACGAAATTATAAACATTGTCCTTCTGTATATCAGTCTCGTGTGCGATGCTCCCAAATCAATTGGGTCGACGGTTGATAATACTTGCGTCATTAGCAAAAGGAACGCTGGTGGCAGCGTTCTGGACAGATGAAATTTTGACGCATTATTACTCCTTAAGTTTCAGTTTCGTCGTAAGTTTACCCGAGACGGCCAAACACAACGATTCGATTCCGTTTAGTTCATCTCTAACGATCGACTGTAGCAGCATAGGGAGTTTGCTCTTGAATTAATTTCGTACAAGTTAGAACGGTTTTTTAGATAGTTTGGCGAAATGCGTTTTCTGTGGTCAATATATAACCAATAATACCAAAGCCCCTAAACGGAAACACAACTTGTCGTTATGGCTGAAGCATATTCTCTGATAACAAGTACCGCTCTGGAAAAGAACAGGAAAAAATAGGCAATGAACCGATAATCGAGGCGGCATGATGAAGGTCTAAAATAGCTCAGTGATATGGACAACAGCAAAATGTATACGCAACGTATGCAAAAGGTCAAAGCAAAGATGGTAAAGAGCAGGAGTCTAGGATACAAGGAAGAAGTGGAGATAATAAAGTATGAAGAAACTTACCTATGCACATACACTAAGGAGTGCGTACAAAATGATGCCGAAGGATGAAAAGGATGTACACGAAGCAGGCGAGCGAAGATTGAAACATGGGAGGGGAGCAGAAGGCTACTGGTTTATGGGATGAAGTTAAAGGGGTAAAACTAATTAAGACTCCCTTTGCCTTTGCTTTCATCCAGCGGTCTTTATCCTTCTTCCGTCTCATCCTATCCCTTCTATTCTTTTCTACTTACTCCTTTAACTCTTCCGTCCCCCACCGACGTACACACACGTACCACTGCCAATGTCGTTATCCTCGTTTGTACGACTGCTGATGTAGGTGCTACTTCGCTGTTTCCATGTTCCTTCTGTTCCAATTTTCCGCCCTCAACATATCCCATTTATCCTTGGCATTCGCCTACTGCTTCGCTGAAGATAGAAAATTTCGAACTTTTCTCTCTACCACGAGCCGAACACGAACGAGCAACCTCTAGACTAATGAGTTTTCTACACTGAGCAGTGTCGCCGGCGACAGTGCGGTCGTAGCAATAGAGCGCGTAGGCACAATCTGGGTCATCATTCGCTTCTCTAGGGTTGTATAGTTCGAGTGAGAGATGAACCAGATAAACGAGGTAAGAGGATTGCGAAAAAGAGGAAAACCTAGAGGGATAGAAAGAAGTCCCTTTTGTGTTTGGATTTTTCTCGGTGTGGGAGTACTTGTCCCGGCAGCTTTTGAGACCCTCCTCATTGCCAAATATGCTATTACAAATTTTATTGCCCAGTGATCTGAAAAAGGTGATAATCCAAAGGCGCGAAGCGTGAAGATTATGGTGAAAACGGAAAACTTTTCGTTCAAGCTTTTGCCGAACCGCTTTAGAGACCTTTGTTATGTATGGCTTGGCCTTTTCGTGAACAACTATAGGTTTGTTTTGTCTATTGTTTTTTTTCTGTTGCGTCGTGCAATCGATATATAGGTTCACTATAGGTTTTAGTGACCATTTTGTTTTCATCAAACATTTTTCGTTGAATAAGGTATATACGGTTCCGCCGAACGCAAATCATATATTTTATTAATGGAAACCGGGCTTAACTTAAGGCCCAAGTACATGTCCTTAAGTGACTTATTGTATTCTACGTAAATAGATACACTAGCATTGATGTAAAAACATCGTTTCTGGCCACCCCTAAGAGTTCTGCGTCGGGATCTGTCGTCCTTGCAGCGTTTGTTCGCTGTTGAGCAAAATATGTAGACACAGTGGGAACCCGTGCTCCTTTTTGCCCGTCACTTGGTTTGTACTATAAATTAAATATTTGTTGGTAGTCAGATGCTCTTTCGTGGGCCAACTAACGGGTTGTCTGTATAGAAAGTTCTTTTCTGAAGACGTTATTCTAAGGTAGTTAAATGGCCTTTTGAGTTCAGCAAAAAACAAAATTAGGTAGGTGATGAAAAGGCATATAATCTACATTCATAAGAAAAGTCTATTCATTACAATGGGCTGATTAATGAGAAAAAACTTTTTTTTTTTTATAGTTTATACATGTAAACAAACCCGTAGATAATGAAATAAAGAATATAACATTTAACAAAGGGTGCATATAATTATATGACCTACACACACAGAACTTTAATACTCTTTCGTGTATCACTAAATAAGTCACCGAGTTATGATAATAAAGAGTTCTGTTACGATGTACGACCGTAAGTCTGTAAATTCAGCCTGGTATTCAAATACTGCCGATTTCTAGGTATAAGTCAATAATACTAAATAAACAAGCAAATGAGAACGTATTTTTTTGTTTATATATTTCGTTTTATTTAAATTAGCAAACAGGAGAATTAACGTTTGGCCATCATTCCATATGTTCTGAAGGTGTATAGTATTTTTAGTTGTGTATTATCATATTACGCTGGACAACGTAATATTACATTTCAGTTTGTACGCTCGTAGTCTTACCTTCCCGCACAAGACGTCTTATGGCCCTTTTCTGCGTAAGGTCAGCAAACCCCATCCTCTCAGCACCGGCTCTGATTTTAGAGAGGCCTTTAACTACGACTGTGCCCGACCACATAGAGCGGACAGTCCAGACGAACAAAAGCTTCGAAAGCATGTGTGTAGAAAAGAGATAAACTAAAAATAAACGCGCGCGCTCCGCTTGTCGATTTACGATTCAAGTTCTATGGAACAGGGACAAAAACGGGTCATTGAAGCCCTTTCAAAGGTCGAAATGGAGAGAGCAATCATTCTTGCCAACCTTCCTCTCTCAATTATGCCTCATGAACTCTTCAATAGATTCGTTAGAGTAGCTACAACTATGTTTGACGATAAACATAACCTCAATTATTCTCAAATTTTACAGTGTACAGTTACTGAGAAGTTTTACAGTGGATATGGTAGTAGCTTTGCCGTTCCCCTGTTCAGATATGGCTACAGATTATGTACACGACGACGAATATTATTGCTGTTGGCCTGAAACTTTCCAATATCCGCAAAAATATACGCAATTTCTTTTGCAGACGAAATGGCTACATTGCCTATATGCATAAACCAAGCTCTGTTGAGTAATTGCAATTGATTCGTAGTGAGAGACAAGTATTAGTTTAAGTTGAAGCTTATATCGCTGACATTTGCGGATCTGAGGTCCCTTACGCATCACACGAATCAAAATCATAAGCCGCTTTACTTCGAAATATTGAACCGAAGCAACGTGAAGACGAAAAAGACGAGCTTTAGCAATAATAAAAATAATGTGCGTATTCTACATCCTTACTTTCGCTGAGGTGTATCAAAAAAATTGCATGTTTTCTATTGAGCGTTTGAATTGGCTGTCATTTCAGTAGTTACGTCGAACACGACCTTGCAGTAGGTCACGACGTATCCAGGCGGCCCTGTGCCTGGAAACGACCTACCTGCACTCGTTAAATGCGTGTACTGAGCCCTATTGAAAGTTGGACATTTAAGTCATTTAAGCTATACTAGCAAGAAAAATCAAGGCGCGACTGTAAAATGGAAATATATTATCTGTAATTTTGCGCCAACAAATATAATGGGTCAGCGTTACATAGTAATGTGAACTATTTTTTGACATTGCCATAGTCATTTAAGGATAATTTTATTTTCCTAAAATTATCGAACTTGTGAGTATATATTTAATAGAGAGCTTCGCGGAATGGCTGACAGAGTTAATGGCATTATGAGAATGGTTAAAGATAGACAGCATAATTCAAGATAGGCAACTTGGAAAACGTAACGGTAGTGTCTTACGTGGCTTGTTTATCATATGTACACACACTGATACATCCCTGACCCCTGATTTGTGCAGCTATGATGTCTATAAAAAAAACATTTGAACAAACGTAATGAATTGGGCGACGCGAGATGTTAATACTCGATATGCGCTCTTGAAATCTTAATTGTAAGATGCCGGTAGAGGTTACGCAAGGGTACATCGTGGCCATAATACTACTGAGTCTGAAATCTCTCTATAATCACACATTTGGCTTTTCTATATATTTTTTCCTCTCATTAATACAAAGAGATTTCTAGAACTTTTCTCGGATAGTCTCGCCATTTTTTTTGTGAGAGCAGTTCTTTGAATGACGATTAAGTTTCATGTTCCTTACATAGAGGCGAAACGAATTTAATGTAGTTAGAAACACATGTTAATGAGGTATAGCTGCTCCAGCTATCGTATTTATACCCAATATTATATTGCATTACCGTTGTATGATAATGATCCAGTTCTATGCAGAATATACAGAACCGAGTGTCAAGTGGGTTAGGAAAAAGAAGAGAAGAAAGCAGCCAAAAATATTATTACTAATATGCTTTTTGATTAGGTTTAACGATTTTTAGAGTCTCAAATAGAGAATTCCAAATAGAGGAGAATTCCTCTCAAATAGAGGTGATCAAAGTAATTTTTTATTATTTAGTATAGGACTGATATCTCTCATACAGAAAACCTGCTCGAGGTCCTGAATCTGAGAAAAATCAGTGAGACTGTGTTAACGCCGAT